AAGGTAAGCTTGCACATTTATCTCATAAAGATTTCTTCAATGAGTTACAGGTCCTGGCAGCGGAATTTACAAAATATCAGACAACAGAGGAACGTCCAGGCTCGGGATCAGTTCGGGAAATCGACTGGGTGCGCCTGATGGTCATCAAAAGAAAATGGTCTGAACCTCGCTTCGCCAGACCATACCGAGTCGTGGAGAGTACATCTCATGCTGTCCGTCTACAAGAGAGAAGGAGACACGTGGTTCCATTGGAGTCAGTGCACATCAGCTGAGGAGCCACAACGCACGCTGCAGGGCATACAGGAGAATCTGCAGTCTCAACCTGCGGTCGAGGAGTGTCTGAGGGCCATCACAGCGCGGAGGAGGATCTGCATTTCCGGGCAGAAGTCTGCCAAAACCACTTCATTTTCCTGAATTACAAGGCTTAAAAGGCCCAGACAGGCACAATAATCCTGTTCCGGTGTCCTTCCATTGAGAAAAGGAGATTGCACCCTCTCCTTAAACTCACTGTTAAATTGGCATAATACTCCAATTTTCAGTGAGCAACGGACACTCAGGTGGAAAACCTGAGGTTTACAACCGAGGAGGAACACGTGAAGGATCCAGCTACAAGATCATCATTAACTTATCTTCTTTTTATTGCGTGTTTTCGTTTTTGCGAACTCTTCAAGAACATTCGTTTCTTTTTGCGCGTATTTTTGGATCGTTTCCTGACGAAGAATTCATATTCATTTTTGAAAGACTATCGAAGGAGCATAGAGACGAACTCTAACTTCTTATTGTTGAATTGTGAAAAAAAAAAAAAAAGGGTCTTTTGTAATTTGTATGTGTTTATGATGTATTTTTTTTATGTTGTTATTGTTTTGTATTGACAAATTGTAATTTTTGTGGCGAGTATTGTCTTTTAAGTCTGCTGAGCATTTTTTAGTAATTTCGAGATATCTTACTCTGGTTTTCTAATTTTATACTTGGGCTGATATTTCTATTGTGTGTTTTCTTCTATTGACATGACTGAGTTTTATAATTTTTCAGGTTTGATAAGTGAAATGTATTTTTAGTTAGTTTTTACTGGTTAAAATTTTGTGGTTCATCAGGTGAGTATTAAATTGTTGGACAGCGCAAGATACATTTGATAAGTTTAGATTATGGAGTTTAGCTTTAGACACATGACCTGGCAGTGGACCTAGGAGGTGCTGTTTAAAAAGGGGACTGTTATAAAAATTGGGCTAATGTTTTAGTTTTTTAGTATACTAAATAGTTTTTTGGTTCCTCTATTAGAGGGCTTAATCATTTTATTTGTGAGGTCTGTATGTCTCAGACCTCAAAACGGGGACTGTTAAAGAAAAATGATTATTTTTTAGACTTTAATACAGTTAATCTTATGGCATGTGTAAACACTCTCACTTGAACATATTTCTTAATTTTGAACAAGGCTGTGTTAATGATTTAAAACTACTAATGGATAAGTATTTAGACCACCAGCCCATAGAATGAGTATCTCCTGGGGGGTGAATAACAGTTAAGCCTGCAGGAGAGATTTCTGCTTGGTTTACAGAAGGTCAAAAGTGAGGCCCCCCGCATTCCACAAGCTGTCTGTGAGAGCTTATCTTGTGTTTTATGACTTTAGGAATGCTAGATGCCAGGACAAGCTTTCCGCCTTTTCTTGTTAAAACAAAGAAGCAAATGACCCCAGATGTTTGCAGTAAATTAGGTGAAGCTCAGTGTCAGAGATGGCTCTGGTTGGAGGACCGAGGGCCAGCCCTTTTTGAATGGATTAGATACGAGAGGATAAAGCTTTCTAAATAGAAGTTACAGATCAGATTTTGCTCTTGCAAACTCTCCAAAGATGTCTTGTACGTCTTTGCTTTCTTTCCTCCTATGTCAGGTAATGGAATGTATGTCTCTGTTGTTCTGCAGTTTCTGGTGTAGGCTTGTGCATTGTCTTATTTCTAAGTGTATGCATTGTCTTATATTGGATTAAACTCTGTAATTCTGTGATGTCAACATGCCTTGCTGATTTTCATAGTGACCACACGCAGCTCGCCGAGTGGACCTGGGGAAGGGAAGAATCAAAAGCCAACCTTTTTCCAAAGTTAACTATGTTAGAATATTTTCTTCCTTTACAATATTTATCCAAAAAAACATCTAAATATGTCTGGGAATTGCTAAAGCAAGTCAACGCTAGGCTACCTGTATTGCCCAGATCTTTAACTGTATGATTTAAAAAAACAAGTAGTTCCATTTTACAAAGCCAACCCATTTAAACTTATAATAAAAGACCCAAACCAATAGTATTTAATTATTTACACCCTAAGAACCTAAAAGCAACGTGTTCCCTAATTCATAGTATTCATGTCACAGAGGAGTTAATATAAAGCTCTCAACAGGAGTATAATTAATAGGAGGGTCTTATTGTCTATCAGACAAACACCCACATGATTCAGCTCAAACTAGAAGAGTTATGGTTATTCTGTCATATCTTTTCCTAGTTTGACATACGAGGCTGGCAGGATGTTAAAACGATAACCAAAGTTTCATTTTTAAAATATCCCCTATCTATGCAGTGCAGGCTGTGCTAATTTAGTTTGAGCTGTTTTAAAGCCGCACATTTAGTTATCTGCACCCTCCAGAAGGGAGAAAAAGAGGAAAACTACTTATTCTGTGCTCCCCCGCATTAAAACGTGATTTAATAAAAAGATTTGAATTAATATTTCACATAGGATAATAAAGGTTTCATGCCCCTCTATCCATTTTCCTCTGGCTTTTTTCATATATTTGCTTTGGTAGCTTTTCTCTCTCCTTGTGCAGTTAATTTGTCTGTTTAAAAAGGTCAGTTTTTGCACCAGCGAACCCTCCTGCCTCTCTGTGTCACAGAGCATCTCTGATAATTGAACCGTTCTTTGTCCGTTTGTTTTAAACAAATAATATTCTGAAACAACTTTGTTTTTGTACATTCTTATTGCATAATCAATATAAGGCTGGATTTATCTTTTACAACTTTTAGAAAACTTCAATGCTGCATGGTTGTTTTTTCAATAAACATTAAACATAGAAAATATAAAAAATCTTTTCGTAATCCCTTGAGTTTAGTTTTTAATGACTGAGTTTAGTGACTTAAATTTTAAAGCTACTATATTGGTTTCCTTTCATTAACCAGTTGAAATGGCTAAAGTTTCAATAATGAAGTAATTTTTTAAAAGATGAATGTTGGAATTATTGTTTACCTTTGCAGCTGAGACTTTGAGGATCTTACTTGTGAGGTTTATTTTTCCTCAGGATAACCTGGTTTGCGTTCAAGAATATCAGTCATTTATATGCAAGTTCTTAGCCATATTTAAATAAATGTTTTTTATTATTTCTAATAAATTTAGTGTAAAGATATAAAAGAATCTGTCCCATCAAATAGTATTGTTTTCTCTTTTTTGTTATAATTTAATGTTTCCTATTATAAAACAAAACAAAAAAAAAAACAAGTCAAATGTTGATCATATCTCTCAATAGCAGGGCAAAAACTATAGACTGTTACAGAATTGAAGTAGCTGGGATTGAGTTGGAACTCAACTCTTAGCTTTGATCACATATCAATAAAACGGGTAACGGTTCCATGGGCAGCGAAGAAGGGGTCGATCAGGCAAGAAAACTGGATCGTTTTTCTCATCTACTTCAGAGCAGAGTGGATCACAATGAAGGGACACTACGTTCAGTTTTCTCTGAATCGTAGGGAAAAAAGCAGCAAAAAGACTTCACCAATGGAAAGGTTGCCACAAAGCGTGGCTTCAGCTGAAGGCTGGCATGTCTCACCTATCATACCCGGGGGTCACTGGGCAAAGAGGAAGAAAACGGGGAGTTGGATGCTTTAGTAATCTCTGTAACGGGGATGGGACGTCACGGGGGAGTCGCTCTTACTTCCATCGTTTCACATTTGATCACCAAAATAGATATTTATCTGTTTATACTGGTCTAATAGGGGGATAGTGGCATCGGATGTAGGAGTTTGCCCTGAAATCAAAGGATTGACGGTTCAAGCCCCAGGCTACAATGTAGCTTGCCACCATCAGTGTGTGAGTGTGTGCGTGAATGGGTGAATGACTGAATGTAGTGTAAAGCACTTTGGTCAAGTCTCCTGACTTGAAAAAAAAAACGCTATATAAGTACAGGCCATTTACCATTTACCATAATATTTAAACAATCTGGATGATCTGTAACACTGAAGTTGGACAAAGTAACTAAACAAAGAAGCATTCTGTAAAGAAGGAAAACATATTTTTCCCCCAGCGTTAAACATCTCCCTCTCTGTGTTCAGTAGAGAACACTCTGAACTTGCTCTCTAGAGGAAATGTCTGCCTAACTGCTGGCTCAGATGGATTGAGGGGAATTGGCAAAGTGCTATGTACCTCAGAAGTGCTAATAAGGGCCATAGAGAAGAGAGAGGAAGAGAAAAAAAAGACCCAACCTAACTTAGAGTCTCTCCGCAGATAGCCAGGGAAATCACTTCAAAGAAAGAGAGGCACTAGATTGCCATGTGCCCTTGAGCTCAGAATCATGCAGCCACGGCGCCTACTTCTCCCAACCCTAAGGAAGCCCATTGATTTCTGTATAATCACTATAAAACACCCAGTGGCTTAGAGTTAATTCCTCTATCTGCTGTTGCACCTTGAAGCACAAATATCAAGAATGTTGCAGAAATACAGAGGGTATGACTTAAAGCAAGAGTGTATCAATAGCAGGGGGGGGCAAAGTGGCGGGAGGAAGCAGCTTTTTGGAGAGTTGTCATTTCAGTTTCCAAATCCAAATACTGTTTCTGGGGCTAACTAGGCAAAATCACTGACCAAGCAATGAAATCAGCGGTCCCAGAGCTAGAGATCTTTTCCACCGTAAAGGCTGTAAGCCACTTTTTAATTTGTTGCACAGCAGGAAAAAACAGCATTTATGCATACTTTAGCAAGTTCGATCATTCAGAAACTTCATAGCTGTGTAAATCGCTTTCTGAAAACACTCACATTGTCCTCTCTGAGTTTGTTGATGGTGATCTTTGCCTCCATGAGGTGGTTGTTGAGAACAATGATTTCCCGGCTGAGTGCTCTCTTTTCGTCTTCGTGGTGCTGAGACTGCAGCATGAGATAACAGACAGACAACGTACAGGAAAAAAAGGAATTGGAGAAAAAAGACACAAAAAAAGAAAGCAAGAGTGAATCAGTGTAGATTATAGATGAAGGTTGAATTGTAAAGAATAAATGAAAGAGGGGAGATAATGAGAACAATAGAGCCAAAGTTAGCAGAGAAAAAGAGAAAGAACCATGTTGATAATGAGGAAAAAGATAAGAAAGGGCAAGAAAAATGAAAGCAAGAAAGTCTTAAGTGAGTGAAAGTGATGTTTTCAGCACATCTTAATTAAAAGAAGATTACACTTGCCAGAGCTCATATCATATCAATTACCCTGGGAGAACAACAATAAGGCACAGAGTAAGGAGAAAGACGTGGTAAAAATAAAGTGGTGAGAGACGAATGAAACACTCGTTTTATATTTCTGTGATTTCTGTCAAATAAATGGAAATTTACTGCTGGGTGATATTTAAGTTCTAACAACAGAGATTAATGACAGTAGAGTCTGTCTCTAGTCTCTCAGCAATATTTACTGCCATAGTGACACATTGGATGTCAGGTCATACAGTTTTGCTGTAATTCATTAAACAATGAAATAAAGTTCTGCTTTGTAAACATTCACGTCATCTAACTCTTAATCTAACACCACATCTAACACCACATTCTGGGTAAACCATGTTCTGCCCTCCATTAAATCAGACAAACACTGGAACCACAGCATACAGAGTCACCAATCAAATCCTCTTCTCCAAGTTCACGAGTCAAATTTCCCACTGAGCCTGAACTAACCCCTGTGTCTTCCCCTCACTTTTCAGTTCCGGTTGACCAGTGTTCAGAGCAACACTTCTCCCTGTATTATCTCTTCAATAAACCTGTTAAACATTTTCCCTGCTCTCCCTGTTTTGGTCTTCTGCATTTGGGTCTGAACCTTAGTAAAATCATGACAACACCTTTTTGCCAGGAGAATTTCCGTGTCTGCTTTCTTGTATGTAAGAACTTGTCGGACATCCCATTTTATCCTCTCGTTTTAAAGCGTTTACAAATAATATCTCAGAATGCATAAAAATTACAATGTTAAAATGTTTACCAATATGGTATTGTTGGAAAGCTTAGATTCTCCATAATTCAACTACCAAGTTCATTTTATGGACAGCGAGTGCCAAAGCACAATTAATACACATATACTAGCATGTCAAAATATACCATGACAAAGCAGCCACAACAAGCAAGCATGTCTTTATTACTGCTGTACAAAAAGACTTGGGTGTTTTACTCACCCAATTTTCATGTGTATATTCAGAAACTAGAAGGTGTTAACGTTCAAATTATGTATCACACATGTAATTTGGGCTTACAGTTCCTAAGTTATTTGCTTTTCCATTTGGGTATGTAAAATAGGTGAGAACTTCCCAAAATGAGGTGGATATTAAGAGCTTATTCCACAGGAGTTATTATGATATTGTCATAGTTTTGGTTCTGTTTTGTCTCTGGTTTTCTTTTCGAGTTTTCATTGGTTTTATTTTCCTTTTGTGTTATTCTAGCTGTTTTTGGTTGTATGTGAATTTTTATGTATTTCTTGTTTGCCCTCTGTTACTCCTCTTGTGTCATCCTCCTAGCTCCCTTCTAGATCTCTCTGTCCACACCTGCTCCCAATCTGCTGACTAGCCTGGTCTTTGATCAGTCTCTCATTTATACTCCTCCTCTTCAGTTACTGTTGGCTGGCTCCTCATTGTTTCTTGGCTCTTCATGTGTATTTTCCCTGATGTCTCCTAGATTATGGTTTTCCTTTATTCCTTTATTCGTTTTTGGATTTTTGCTTCTGTTGCCAACTTTTGGATATTAAATCTGCAAGAAACCACCTCAGCTTCTGTCTCTGCATTTGGGTCCTCTTCAAACCTCCACACAACCTGAAAGATATTTGTCCTTTCATTGTAAATTTTATTACTATTACCGCAAGGCTTTCTACGGGAATAAGGTGTATTTTTATTGCAACATTTTCATTTCAGATATTAATTTATGACGGCAGAACCTGATTTTCTACCGTAAATGATTCCAAATATGTCACATCTCATTGATTTCAATACTTTTCAGGCCAATTCAGTTCTTCCACAGCAAACTCGCTCAACTCAATGTCTTTGAGGACTTAAGTCTATGCAGCTCTCATGTTATTACCTTTCTCACTTGTTAAAATGTATTTGTCCAAGATATATTGAAATACCTTTCACTAGAACTAAGATAACCTCACCTCATAAACCCCTCATACATTCTTTAAGAATTCTTCCAATGTTTTACAGCTAATCCTATTAAAAACGTATCTCATGTTGTTTGAATGAAATGGATGACATTATAAATAATTTTACATTTTTTCCAGTCTTGAGCTGTTCGTTTACATCATTTATGAAGGCCATCCCAGACATAAGGCTATTTTTGTCACTTTAGTGTTCGGATTCAGCATTGAGTGCATTCTGTCAGCAAAGACAAGCTTCTAAAGCTTGTAAGCATTAAGCCAAATGCTTACATCAGCTAAACATGATCAACCCGATTGTGTTTGAATATTATCATTAGTACTATTTGCTTTATTAATGTTATGTTGTTATGGAGCAGATATTATGCACAAGTGGCTTGCATGCTTCTTTTGTAATATAAGGCTTAAAAAACTTGATTAAAGCTTAGTTCTACATAATAACATATAACTAGCATTTCACATGCACAGAGCTAGAAACTGGTTGGTAATCCTAGTTACTATTCCATTCCTTTTTGTCTCTCTCTTGTTGTAGCAACACACACTCACATACAAAGTAGTCTTTTTAAAAGCAGCTGCAGAACAACAGTTGATAAATGAATCCCTCACTCAGCCTCCCACCTTTTCTCTTCTAGTACCTTGGAGGTGGTGATTGTTTTGGAATAAAGTGAAACAGAACCTTTCGATTAGGTGGCAATTAATGCTATAACTCCAAAAATGAACCGGCACTGATATTCAAATCTAATCCTGTTTTAGATCCATTATTCGGCCTAGTTTCCCTTCTTATCTGTTTCCAGCTTGCAGATGACCTCTCTATGAATTTTTGGAAGCCTACAAATAATTCATTTGTTGTCCTCTTTATTTACAGAATTATGGTTGAGTACTGTACTCTATTAAACAAGTACAATTTACATTCAGGGTTGTGTTTTCTATCTAACAGTTTTAAGCCTGTCCATCTGTAAACGTCTCGTTAGAATGTAGATGTTTATTTATTCATTCATTAACACAAAACAAGCATTTTGATGTGTGTTTGGTGCCCACAGCCCACCTGCTCAATTTCCAACATTTACTCTCCTTTTACTATTGTTTAGTCTTTACCTGCTCCTGAGGGAAATATCTGTTTTAGCTGCTAATTGTGGCTGTGTGCTTACTACCCGACGGCTAACTGTGTCTTTTTGCTGCGTACCCTGATTCCTAAATGGTTAATCAGGGGCCGTTTTTTTTAAGAAGCAGCTGAGTTAAAGTATGATCCAGGTGATTCAGATGCAATGAAAGAGAGAGAGAGAGAGAGAGAGAAAAAAAAGAAAACTAATAATAAAACTCATAAAGCTGCTACTCTCTTTATAATTCTGCACAGTTTCATTTCTTGGTCAATTCCTTTTAAATTAAGAAATTTTTACAGAATGAAAATAAATATAAACTTTAAAGTCATGTAATTAAAAAAGGCCTAATTAACAAAAAGGTGTAATTACTGACAATTTCTAAAGCAGTACAATCTCCTTCATTATTGCAACTGTTTTGCACATGCTGCATAGTTTATTTCTGCACTAAATTAACAACAAATATTGCATTAAATACATGCAGATTCAAGCAAACCAATCAGGACCATCAGATAAAAACAATCTGGGCGTATTTTTGGATCAAACTGCAGTTTTTCTCCTTGGCTATGGACACAGCAGATGCTGAAGTGATAAAAAAATTGAGAAAAGTGTTTTTTTCTTACTTTTCCTAATATTTTATTTAATATGGTCTTTTTCACATTTTTGTTGTATAAATATCTTAATCCATGTTGCTGATGTTTGCTTCACTTTAGCCACCTTTATTTGTATAGTAAAAAGATGGTCCTATTGTAAATGATCATAGAGAAACAATGCACTGGTGCTAAGAAGGAAAAAGGAGCATTCCTAACAGGCTTAATATGATTATATTGTACTGTATTATGTGGTGGGTGGGGGTGTGTACACTGATTTACACTATCTATTACAGTAACGTCTTTTTTACAAATACTAGCCTTTATCAAGGCATTATTATCAGTTGGCTCCAACCATATAAGTCAATGCAATCTTGGAAAATCAAAATGCTGATCTGTACAATCGGGTCCAGAAGCAATCGACTCAGTGTATGAGAAGGGATTTGTTCAGTCACAACAATTTGCCAGTTTAACAAATCAAAGCCTTTCCGTTTCTGATTGTAAATGCAAACAGGTTTTTTATTGTTACATAGAAACTTAATGGATTACAATTTCTAAGGGTGATACGTAAAGGAAAAGTACGACCCAGTGAAGGGGTTGATTAGAGGCATTTTTAATCATAAAAGTACAAAAAAGTCCATTTTTGAAGTTACCTTCAATTGTTTCAGTAATTCTGCTTGAGATGCTGTCTCTTCACTGTGCAATAAATGAAGCCTTAGTCCCACGAGATGCAATTACAGAGTGAGCTGGCTCAGAGAGGAGCATTTTAAACATGTTTCTATTTTAGAGAAAAGCTGAAAAAAGGGAACAAAGCAGATTCCTGACCTTGTTAAAGAGGATTTTCAAATCAAAACACCAACAATACCCGATGGCCTGGATAAATCAAATCTTAACACTGCATACAGCAGTTTTCCAGAGAAAGCAGAACAAAGGATTTAATCAGTGGACATGATGAATGAGGAAGAACATCTTGTCACATAAAATTAGTTGTGATGTTCATCAGAGAAGAAAAACTTTGAATTCTGATTCAGCCTTCTATGAAAATGGTTCCTGGTTTACAAAGATGTGAATAG